AACACAACACAACAAAACACCCTGATTCCCTGAATGAGCAGACAATGAAAGAAAACACAACTGACAATCTATAAAATATAGACAAAACTGATTTAACAAATTCTATACATTCCTACCCAAGATTAGAGCTTTCTGTATTGAAAGCATGCATGCACTATCTGCTAGAACAGCTTAGCATTATAATAACCTTGTGAGGTAGGCTTGTCTGAAAGGATTCTGCAAGACCATATGCTAGGCTTTCCGTAAAGTTGTTTTATAATAAGACTTTCGTCCATGTAGTCAGTAACTCCACACAGTCCTAGTCCAAGGTTTTCCTAGCTCTTGCTATCTGAAAACTGGAATAACGGCATCCTCACAAAACGCCTCATGCATTTCAACACATTTTTTTTATAAGAAAAGATTCTGATGGCCTATACTCTTTGTGAAGGTGCAGCAAACTGGTATGAACTGTACGAAGTGGAAAAAATCCCACTCTGTTAAAAAGAAACAAGGGATAAAATCCAGAGGAATTCCCTTTGAGGAAGGACCATCATCCTAAAATTATTGTGATAATTTTAGTGTATTGCTGTATAAATTTACACTGTTTTAAATTATTATCCTTCAGCTGTGTAGTGTTTATGTTTTTTCCTGTTTATTGTTGTATGTTTACTTGACTGTTTGTATTGCTAGAGTATGTTGTTATCTTACTGTAATCTACTTAGAGAGTCCTTGGTCCAATTTAGTGGAAATACAGTGGTACCTTAGTTCATGAACTTAATCCGTTTCAGGACTCTGGTCATGACCCAAATTGGTTGTGACTCAAGTTAAATTTCCCCATAAGGTTCAAGGTAAATAAGGTTAATCTGTTCTATAACCATTTTTTAAATCACAAAAATGCGAAGCAAAGTGACAACAACAAAGATCGTGGCCATCTCCCCCACCCACCCCAAGCACAAGCATGGCCATCTCCTCACCACCCCTGCACGACTGAGATTGCACCTGTCATCCTGGCACGCACCCATCATCCTGTCTGGCATGAAAGCCAATGTAATACAGTAGTTAACATTCTTAAGACTAGAACTGGGAAGTCACAAATTCCACAGCCAAGAAGCTCACTGGGTGATCTTGGGCAAGTTACTCTCTCGGCATAATATGTCTCAAAAGTTTACTTTGAAGACAAAAGGGGAGAACACTGAATTTCTTGGGCAGGGTGGTGGTGGTGGTGGTAATAAATTAATGACTTATGTACTGGACGAGAACAATCACAATTTTCTTTATATGGTCCTCTTCCTCTCAATTTTTAAACTTAGCTGTAAATTAGGTTGGACTGAGAGTCAGTGACTGGTCCAAGGTCCCCCAGCTACCTTCATTTCTGAGTGTGGAATAGAACCCAGATCTCCTTAGACCCCTCTACAATCAGCAAGAGTCAATTCAGCACCCTAGAATGCGATTACCACATTCCATTATGAGCTCAAAAAACCCGACATACTCTCAATTCATTGGGGTTCATGGATTCTGCTTGAGAAGAGCCTTGCCTCTACTGAGATTTGGCAACAAATGCCCTCAAGCATTGCTGCAAAATATCTGCTTGCTTACACCACTGAGCAGGGATATATGAAAATATAGCCAGTTAGAAGTTTCATAGTGGGTCTATGCATTGTGTGAATGAGCCTGATCAAGTCCAAGTGAAATGTCAGGCTTGCACACTCCCCTTTCCTCTTTCTGTAAGTTTGATAGAAGGATCTGGGCAGAGTACAGTCTTACGTTTTGATACCAACTAACCAAAGTTTATGTCAAGCCACTAAAGATCATTTTGGGTAAGACAGGTAGAGCTAAAACATTGTTTACAGCTATGTGTGAATCAGTTAACAGTGTCATCTCTAAATGCATGCACACACATGTCACCGCAGGGTTCCTTAAGAATTACTGAAAATTAATGATTATTTATTCATTTGTTACATTTCTATACTCCCCCAAAATCTGTCAAATCTACAGTAGAAAAAATAGAATTCACAGGTAAATGATGGCAGACACATTACTCAAACTGTGGCAACTCTAGCCCTGGCTTTTGAAAAACAGGGTGGATTGTAGTTTGGACATTGACTGTTAAATCTGATGCAAAATGAATGAATTATTGTATTTGGAGTGTTGCTTGCATGCTCTTGTTTATGACGGCCAGACTGCTGTTTTACTGCTTAAAACCATTATTTCAGTATTTCAGTGCTTGCTTGGTGCCAATGGCCAACACAAGTAATCCACCATAAGTGCAAATCATATTAAGTTAGTACAGGGCAAACTTTCAATTCCTAACTGGGGGGGGGGGGGGAGAAAAGCACTGGCACATGGATTTGTTATTTTAAAAATCAAATACTTTGGATTGTGTAAATGCAATAAAAATATTATGACTATCCCATACAAAAGACTACTACAATAAATGGCCTTGCACTGAACATATTTCCATTGTATGAAATAACGAATGGCTGAATTATCTGAACAGAAAAACCCCTCTGTGAATCTTCCTTTAAACTGGTTATTCCTTTGCAATACATAAATCTTCTTAGGCAGGGCACTCTGCCATCTGTTTGCTGTTGGTTAGTTTTGCAGCTCTGGGGGCCAGAGGAAAAAGGGCAAAAAATTACGGCTAAGCAGCAAGTCTGAATTTATAGTGCAGTTTCAATGCTCAAAAGTAATTTTATTTCAGCTAGGCAGACAAAACACATAACTACATAACCCAAACACAGAATTACCTGGGACAGCTCTGGTGGGGATTGGATGTGTACGTGAGTGGAAGCAAGTTAATGGCCTGTTCAAGAGACTTTCCTTTTCAAATGGAGTAAAAATGTGCTGCATGGGGGCAAACAAATGGCCTCCTGCCTAACAATGAATGAAGCAATTGCATTTTACAGAAAAAAAGAAAACATCTTTCTGATTAACATCCCTCACGTTTCCTGAAAATCCCCCCAAACAAGCATTTGTCTAGAGGGTAAAAAAAATGCAGTCTTAATGAGGCTCTAGAACAACAGTGTGTCTTTTCAACTTTCAGGAAATAAACTACACAGGACCAATGTTAGACAATCAAATCCTTTGAAAGGCTGCAGAGAACCAAGGAGGAGTGGAGAATCACAGACCCTCTGTGTGTGTGCGTGCGCAAGACAGACACACACATGGAGGAAGGGAGGGAAGGAGGTGCTTAGGGTATAGAATATGGCTATAAGGTAGATAGCTTTATTCTATTAACACATACTGCTTACTTAAGCAGAAGTCAAACCATGTAGAGTATCAAAATGTGGAAGAGAATACATTTAACAGCCTGTAATATCTGTATAAATGTTAGGAAGGATCAGGGCAAAGCAGCAAAGGCATAATCAGCTGGTTCCTCCATTATCCTTTTTAAACAAGGGATGCTTGCTCTCAAACGTCCCCTTCCTTGAAGAGAGGCAACAGGCTCCCTTCCTTCAGCACCCAAGCTGTAGCAGCAGCAAGAAAGGTTCCTATGTAGAGCCCACCTTCTTGCCTTTCACTGGCTACTGAAAAGGAGAGAGGAAACAAAACTATTGCCACAAATGGACTTGTCACTGTTCTCCAGCAGCAACCAACTTTTTCAGGGGAGCAGGACTTCACTCATCATGGCAGCAGGCTTCTATCCTGAGCAGGCAAAAGGCAAGAAAAGCTATTGCTAGGATGAAAGAGGCACTGTTGCCTTAAAAACTCCCACAGATCCAAAACAAAAGGTGTTGCTGCGAAGAACAGGTCAGTGTCTGTCAGAAATGGTTCCTCTCCTTCCCAGAAAGACAGGGTAGGGGAAAGGATAAGTCATTTTTGCTGGCTGCTCTATCACTTAGCTCTCCTCAGAGGCAGAATGGTGCAGAGACCTGAATATACACTTTTCTGCAGTACAAAAGTGATGTGTGAGTTAATCTACAGTCACAAAGTTACTCTTCTGCCCTAGGTATTCTGGAGGCTGTCTTCAGGATTATTGGATCCCACATCCCAGTCCCCATATTCTTCACTAATCTGAGCAGTGCCTCAGATGCATTTTTTAATTTAAGAAAAATAGATGGGAATACTGATATGCCCTCTTGGTTTACATGACATTTTATTATGCTACTGACAAACATACACACACACACACACACACACACATGCTTTACAGATGGACTAACAATTTACCTCAGATTTATTGTCTCCAGTAGCAACTCTCTTTGTTGACTAGAGGAATATCCTGAATTTGTACCCAGCAACCCAATTAAAAACCAATGGTTTTAGGCCATAGTTTTACCACTGTTGACCTCCCTCCCTCACAGAAATACCTGGCTGGGTAGTCTTTTGTCCTATAAGTTTAGACAATCTACTTGTTATATAACTCAGCATTATGATGTAGTCATGAATGAAAATAATTGGGGATGGGACTGAAAGTAAATGTGTTGCTGGGTTGTGTAAGTCTGAGTCTCTACATCAGATGAAAATGAGCACTTGAATAATTCCACAGGGAAACAGATATGCTGGCATTGTACTCCTGCAAGGAAAAATAAGTGCAAAAAGGCCTTTTTGTTAATTTTATCTGACATGTCATTTTTGTCTGTTCCAATGGACAAATATTATAATTTAAAATAACAAATGTAATACTCTTTATTCTGAATTTTCAAATGCTGTTAAGTGATCTTTGATACCATGATATCTAAATCCCCAATCTGAAACACTGTCAATTATTTTGATCCAAAAATATTGTTTAACTGCAGGTCAAAAACCTTACTATGTTTTTACCACAAGTTATTCTCCTTTCAGACCAGCCAGCCGTCAAACATGCCATATTCACAATTTTATAAAGTGACAGAAAAGAGTCTAAAGATGTAACAAAAACATATCAAGAATTTGACAGAATAATTGGAAACTCTTGAATTCTCACGGTACAATTTTAAAGTGTTCAGAACCAGTTGCATAAAAATGCTGAGGAAAAACCCTTTGCACCAATGAAGGACTTCTACCTTTGAAAAAGCAGCAGCTCCTGAAATGTTACCAACCTTTACCTGTGGAACTGTTCACCATGTTAGGTGTCATGTTGTACGGAGGAGCTTGAGGGTTCATCAGGCTTGAGTTGTTGTTCATGGGCTGGCTATAGGGAGAACTGGATCCCATGATGCCACTTTGATTGATGACAGGAAAACTGCCTTGCCTAAGTGAAAAGAAAGCACACACACGTAGACAAGCTCTTATTATGTTTCCGACTGAGCAGGACACTTTGGATGGTCACAGAATTCTATTTTCAACATTCACACACACCTAAAGAAGAGGCATCCAGTTAGTCTTTGCCTGTAAGGGAGGGCAGCTGTTTGTTGAGACCTTATTATTGAGTTAGTAATTCACTCATTTTAAGGATCTTTCTGCAATCCAGGCTACAATCAAGTATCATGCAGATATTTCAATGGAATATATGTTAATTTCAAATGGACATCACCTACTATTATATAAAGAAATTAAAGCTGTAGCATGGTCAGCATGTACAAAGTGATGGAAGCAAAGAAGAGAGAAATAAGTGTTCATCTTCAATGTATACAGAGAAGCCTGGGTAGGCTAGCTCTTTTAGAAAGTTATTTGGATTCTGTTTTGCCTACCATACTACAAAGCAAGCCATGAAGACCCACTCCCCAAAAAAGGATACAAGGATACTAATTAAATGAAGCTACTTCTGTAAGCAGTTAAATATATGCATTTATCAAATACCCTGTTGACTTGCGAATACTATATAGTGAGACATAGACCATATTATTCTTGGCACTTCAATAACAGACCAGTGCAATATGACTTTGATGGAACCTTTGAATGGAAAAAGAAGTCTCTTTGTCTTTTCTGCCAAAGCTTGTATACTATATCACAGAGGACTAATGTGCGATGTGTGCATGATTTTCATTGCCTCTGGTATAGCTGTACTTCAACAGAAGTGCTCACAGAACACAGTATCAATTACATATATACCCATGTTTTGCTTTTCTAAACATTTATCTATCCTAACTTACCTACATCTCCAGTCTTCAAATGTTTTGAGCAACTTTGCCTATAAATGAGCTTGAATGACCCAGTTTTAAGGATGGCACAATTTTTATGTATGTATTTGTCTATGATTAACATTTGGCGGCTAAGCCATCAGAGCAGTATAGAGTTTAAAACAAGACATTTGGGAAGGGGAAATAACAAGTAGAGACAGAGCAAAAAAATTCCCTCTTTTCCATTAGCTGGCAGCCCTATTAGAAGCAGCATTTCATATTTTAATAGGACTAGTGGGCTACTGTTACATACAAATAAATTTTGGTTAAATGACCAAATTGAAAAGAGCAAGTTTTTACATGCATTCAAAAGGTCAACAGAATGGGGACATTCTTAGCTCTTGGGGAAGTTAATTCCATAGATTGGGGCAACACTGGAGAAAGCTCAAGCATGCCTATCAGATGGGTCTCTACAGATAAAGCTGCCCTCAGAAGGGCCTTTCCTACAGATCTTAATATTAGGACAGGCAGCTTTAGAAATCCAGGTCCTAAGCAATCTAAGACTTCCAAGATTAACATCAATACCCTGAAACCTGCCCAGAAAGCAATTGGAAACCAGTGCATGTCTTTAGGGATAGGGGGAATGTGCGCCAGTTAGCATAACTGTTACCAAATGAGACTGATTCATGCAGGGCTGTAGCAGACAAACCAAATACAATTGTGCAAACAGATTCCTTGGCACAGCCATATCCAGAGACAGTGCAGGATCAAGGAATACTCCCCGGCTATGGACCTGATCCTTCTGGGGATACACAATCCCTTCCAGGACAGTTTGCATCCTAATCTTTGAATAAAAAACCTGTAAATAAAAGGTATTGTTTCAAAGTCAGTGTTGCCCTTTGTTCTGTGGAGGCAAACTTCTCCATTTCTGTGAATAGAGAAAGGTTTTCCTTTGATAGGAAGGAGATAACTGACACACAAGGTCATTCTCCTTAAAGAAGCTTGTCACAAGTTGTGAGGGGGAGGTTGGGGGGGATACAAAAGACTGTACAATTCTTCTAAAGAAATTGACAAAGGGAAAAATGAGTCAGAGAGTTTATCAACAACTTTGAAAAGTTTTAGTGAAACAACCTTATGTATGTAATTATTGTACCTTTCCAAAGTGTTCTTAAAAATGTGGTAAAATATTTATGAAGCCCCAGGACAGGTAGTACATACCAATGACAATGTCTTTCCTCATACCTATGACAATGTACCTATTCTGTATTAGGACACACCTTCTCTTTATATTCTAGAAAACTTAAGAGGCACAATACTTATGGAAAATACCCATAGCACCTGTAAATGCTATTTATCAAGATCTGTTGAATGTTTCTGCTGTAAATTCATTCCAAGGTAACTCAGACCCAAAGTAATACCAAACCATAGTGTGCTCTCAGGGTCTGTGGGCAAAAGCAAACCGCAGTTTAGATGTTAGAACTAAATGCCAAAATATGGTTTGCTGAAAGCCTGGCCTGGAAGTTATTAACAACTACATCTGTGTTTGGTGGCTGGTGCTGCATTTGAACAATGCTTTTGAAAATAAGCTTCTGGAATGTAGAGGAATTTTCATGCATTTATGCAGATGTTTATATACATTAACAGCATTTCTCTTAAGGCTCCAAGTTAACAGAAAGATTGCCTAAAGAGAAACTGGACTGGCATTATACAAGCAACCGAAAGAGGCTTTTATTCCAATATTAGTATAGCTCTACCACTGTTCTTTAATTTGGCATCTCTGTTGCCAGAGAGCTTCTTTATGTGGGTTCCATGTAGGAACAAGTCTATCCATACAGTGTCCTTCATTTATTATATTAGCAAAGAGAATGGAACTACCAAAGGAACAGGGCAATTTGAAGATAGGTTATTCATACATAACAACATCATTACACAGTCACTTGAAAGGAAAAAGTGAAAAACTAAAGCTTTACACAATGGATGTGTTCACACATACTGCTAAACCAAGCCACAGGGTTATCATGTGTCATAGTATCTCACATTGTGTCCTGGGTTCACACATACACATGCATAGTTTTCATGTGTCTCCGTCTCCCTCCAAGTGGTGGCATGTATTCAATCAGTCCTTGTGACTGGGAATTAATCCCAGCATGCACCACTCCTGCCCAACTCTTCCACTTTTGCTTACATTTATTTATTTATTTAGGAAGCTTCTATGTTGCCCAATTCGCTGAAGCCTCGAGGCGGCTCACATCAATAAATAAATAATCACAATATAAAAACAATATAATTTGAGTCGACCTGGCCAAAGATATAAAATAAATAAATAATATTAACAATTCAAATGACGTTTAAATAAAAAGGTCTTCACCTGGCGCCGAAAAACGACGGCGCCAGGTGGACCTCTCTGGGGAGTGCATTCCATAGATTGGGCGCCACTGCAGAGAAAGCCCTCCTCCGAGTACTTACCCTCCTAATATCCTTCACGGAGGGTTCCTGGAGAAGGGCCTCTCCCGCTGATCTCAAGGGGCAGGCGGGTGGGCATATATGGATGTAAGCGCTCCTTCAGGTAACCAGGACCCAAGCCGTTAAGGGCTTTATAGGTCATAACCAACACCTTGAATTGGGCCCGGACTTCAATGGGAAGCCAGTGAAGCTGACGGAGAACTGGAGTCATGTGAACATAATGCCCAGTCCCCGTCAGCAGCCTGGCAGCTCTATTTTGAACCAATTGAAGTATCTGGACCGTCTTCAAGGGCAGCCCCACGTAGAGCGTGTTACAGAAGTCAAGTCAGGAAGTCACCAACGCGTGTGTCACCGTTGCCAGGCAGTCATTCTCCAGGTAGGGATGCAGCTGATGGATCAGCCGAAGCTGAAAGAAAGCGCTCCTCGCCGCCGCGGTCACCTGAGCTTCCAGTGAAAGCTCTGGGTCGAGGAGCACTCCCAAGCTGCGGACCTTGTCCCTAAGAGGGAGTACAACCCCATTCAGGACTAAGTTCAGGTTCCCTTCCCCAAAGCCCGATCCGCCAACCAACAGGACCATCGTCTTGTCTGGATTGAGCTTCAGTTTACATGCTCCCGTGGGTATGGCCTCAGTTTTTTTCCCCTGCTGCTTTGCATAGCCACTGTGTACTCATATAGAGTAGCACCCCCTGCTGCTGCCACGCTCAGTACTCACGCAGAAGTGCTCACTCACACCTCTCCCCTCTGCACATGTGCCTGATACCCTTCCCTCCATGTGCTGGATTTGCACACACTGCTGAGACTGCCTCCTGCTGGCAGCCTGGCACATGGAAAGCAGCAGCATGGGCGCCATCACCAGGGATGGATGGAGTAAGCCCTTCTGGACATACTTTCCAAAAAATGCTCCTCTGGGCATCTGCCTGGGAAATTCTGCTAGCAGGCTATTGGGGGGGGGGGCTTGTGAGGAGTCCCATACACTGCTGGGGACAGGAATAGGCACAGGGTGGGAAGCAGAGCAGGAGACATGGCATCCTTGGGATGCTCGCCCTGGTGGCAAGGTCTCCCGTGCTACCCATGGGCTGCTCCAGCACAGGGCAGGAGCACCATGCATGAGTAGATACTGAGTATGCATGAGTAGATACCAGCAGATACTGCTGCTGGTGGCACTCCCTGTCTTTCTTCCTGGTGTGTGCTCCCTGATGCCCTGCTGTTCCATCTCACTGCCTCACTGCAATCACAGCCTTGCCAACTGCATGATGTCTCGGCTCACTGCAATGCCAGCCTTGCCTGTTGAGCAGCCTTGCTGATGTGCCTGCGAGTTGCGCACACTGGCAAGGATTTGCAAGTGAGGCTGGCATGGTGGTGAAGTGGGCCTCATGAGGTAGGCAGGGTGGGCATCTTGGCAAGGCAATGAGATGCACAAGGAATCAAGGCAAGGCATGGTGGGCAGGACAGTGAGGCTACCATCATGGCAAGATGGGGCAGTTAGGAATCAGGGAGTGCATGCCAGGAAGGAGGATGGGGAGAGCAGAGAAAGCCAATCAGTGCTCTGCTGCCAGCGGCTCACTAGTTGCTAGCTAGAACAGCGCAGTGGAAATGGCAGCTAGACCAGCCATGGCCACTCTTGCCTCGAACCTCACTCTCAGAAATGGAGAAACCATAGGAAAACATCATAAATGAATTCACATGTCATGACAAGCAATGGTGAAACCTTAGAACAAAATGTTGGCTC